GGACCTTGGGCTGAGGGCACATTCATTGCAGCGGGACCATCTGGGCCTTGTGCTCCTCAAATGGGCTGCTTTATGGTTCCCAAAGCCAGGGGGTGGAGCTTTAGTGATGAATATTCAGAAATCACCTCCTCACCCGGAGGTGTGGACTTGAAAGGAAAAAGCCAAGGTCTAGAAGGGGAAGGGGCCACCCTTCTCCCCTGCGTTGGAGGGCCACCCTTCTCCCCTGCGTCACTTCTCTCAAGGCAACCTGCAGTGGCAATCGCTGCTGGGGCTGCCACTGCCCGCACTGCAGCGAGAGACTTTGCCAGGAAGAGCCCTCCCCGAGATCCAGATTCTGCTGGGTTCTGGTTTTCTGGTTTTTTTCTGTTGCTGAAATTGCAGCGTGGTCTGCCCAAAAGGAGCGAAGGCGGGAGCCTGCAAGTGGCAACTGTTGCTACTGCTGCTCCCTGCCCAGGGAGAGACTGCTGCTGTAGTCACCCCGGCAGATGCCACAGCCCCGCTGGCTACTGCACCCGCTGCTGTTCCTCACAGCAACAGAGAGGGAGAGAGAGGGAGACAGCCTGCCCCCTGCCTCTGTGTCCTGCCATCGTCCTGCGACAGTGTGTTTTAATTTGGGTTTTGATTCCGATTCCATCTTTTTCTTTGCTAACTTTTTTAGTTACTAGATCTCGGGCCACTAATTGGGATATATATATATATATTTTATTTTGGTTTTGTTCCCTTTCCCTTCCCCCTTCCCTTTCCCTTGGGAAATTGTATATTTTAATTGTATATAAGTGTAACATAGGTGTAAATATATTTATATATATCACTTTAGCTGTCTCTCTCTCGTTTCTGGTTTTCTTTAGGTTTTTTTCTCCCTCTTCTCCCTGAGGTTTTGGGGGCGGGGGGGGAGGGACTTCTGGTGGTAAATTTTGGAGACTTGGCAGGGAGCCAGCTTCAAAGCATATCAGACAGGAAGAGCTGGACCTCTCATCTCTGCTCTTCCTGCCCAAAGCCGGCCGTGCTGACGCGGCTGAAGAACGGGCTTCTCACCCTCCTGGTCCAGCTGCCAGGAAAAGGAGCCACTCTGCCCCCGAGCCCTGCGGCCCCACCCTCCAGCCCCGTCTAAAGGTGGTCCTGCCCTGCCAGGGTAGGGATTTGGGCCACCTTTATGTACAAATAAATAGAAATAAACCCTCAGCTGAGTGTCTGGGTGGTCCCACCAGCAAAGCCCCAAGGCCCCAGCCCTGGCTGAGCTCCGTGCCCGGGCGCAGCTGTGGATGCCCACGGTGTGGGCAGGCAGGAGCCAGGCTGGGGCTGGGGGAGCCCGTGGTGTGGGACCTTGGACTGAGGGCACATTTATTGCAGGAGGGAATTTGGAGTCCCCCGTAAGGTGGGACTGGTGTCCCTCAGGAGGCACTCAGGCATATTTGGAGGTGTCTTCTCTGGTGTGCAGGCGTGAGGGCCCCTGAAGAAGTGTGGGGGGGTTGCAGTCCCTTGTGAGGCACCCAGGGATATTTTGGGGTCTCTCCTGAGGGCTGCAGGGGGCTGAGGTCCCCCATAAGACTTGCAGGGGGCTGAGGACTGTCATGAGGAATATGGGGGGGGGTTGGATTTTCCTCTAAGGCGGGCAGGGGGTTTGGGGTCTTTCATAAGCCGTGCAGGGGGCTGCGGCCTCTCATGAGGTTCTCAGGGGGTCTGGGGCCTCTTCTGTGGTGTGCAGGTGCCTGGAGACCCTTTAAGGCACGCAGGGGGCTGGGGTCCCTCGTGTGGCTCACAGGGATATTTTGGGGTCTCTCCTAAGGCGTGCAGGGGGCTGGGGTCCCTCGGCAGGCACGCAGCAGGGTTAAACTTTGGGGGGTTTCTTGCTGTTCTTCCCAGGCCGGGCTCTGAGTCGAGGCCATGCCGAGCTGGGAGCAAATGTGCTGTCCCTGCTCTGCCCGGGCTCCTGGAACAGCGGGCGGGCCCATCCCATCCCATCCCATCCCATCCCATCCCATCCCATCCCATCCCATCCCATCCCATCCCATCCCATCCCATCCCGGGGCCCTTCCCAGGGCAGTCTGGCCGGGCCAGGGACCCACGGGGCGAAGGGGCCGCGGGGCAGCCTGACGAGCCGGGGGGAGGCACAACAAGGGGCCTCCTCGCTGAGCCCTTGGCTGGAGCTTTTCCGAAGCAGAATTCCGGTGTTAAGAGCCTCCAAAGCAGCCAAGAGCCAGAGGAGCTCCCGGAAACTTTCATGCGAATCCAAGGCAGACCCCACTGCACACCCCGCGCTGAGCTCTCTGCCCCTGACAGCGCTCGCAGCCTCTTTTCTCCCGTGCCCGAGCGCGGGTCCCTCCCCGTTCCCCCGCTGGCCCAGGGACCGCGGGGTTACACCTTCCCCACACGCCCACAGCGCCCCCAGTCCCCGGCCAGCAGGGGAAGGGGCCCCGGCCTTGCCCAAAGGGGGGCCCGAGTCTTTGCTGCTGGTTGGTCCCCTTGTCTCTGGGCAAACTGCACCTCTCTGTGTCTGACAACTGCACCACCAGGCCCTTGGCACTGCACCGCCGACTCTGCAAGAGCGCCTCTTCATCCCTAAGAGAGCCCAACACACGCCTACAGCCCCGGCGCTTCGCCAGGGCACAGGAGGCACTGCGGGGGGACAGCTGAGCCCGTGGCTTCTCACACCAGCGGGAGCCTGGCACTGGGAGTTCCGAGGCCACGCCTTAGACGGCAGTGACCATGGCCCACAAGCTGGGAAGGTCTTGAGGGGCAGAGACTTTCAACGCTTCTCCCCGGGAAGAGTGGCTGATCCTGGGTTTTTTTTCATCTTTTCCCCTCAAAACCAATATCTTGACGGGGAGTAACACACCTTAGCTCCACCCTCCTGTGGCCTCTGATGTGCAGGGGTGGTTGTGCAGGCATTTTACAGAAACTGCCCTCCGTTTATTCCCCTGCAGAACCAATGTCATAACATCCCAAAAAGGGGCTTCTTATTCACTGTTGTCATAGCTGAGATACTCGGACAGATGTTACAATTCCAAGTACTTGGATCCAAAGCTGGCTCAAGTCAGCAAAGGATAAAGTGACAGTGGACACTGCTCAGTTCTTAGGGCAGAGGGAGTGGGAACAGAAAGTGCTCTCCCAAATAAAGAGTTCCATGTTCACTGCTGGTGTTTAATACATCCCTTTGCCTGCAGGAGAGCTTGTTATCTCTTTCCAAGGATGGCATTTCTCCGTTCCAGTCACTGGAAGCCCATGGCTGCCGGAATGCAAATGCTATTGCGACCGCCAAGGGAACTGGGAGCCTCAGTTGCAGTAGAGGGACACCCAGCCTTTTTCCTTTAATGTCGTGGCAGTCCAGTCTGCAATGGATGAATTCCTTGCTGCTGTTGGCTAACCCTTGTGCTGGTACCAAGGTGCCATCCCTTGGATGGAGCAGGCAGGGAGGGATCACAGGCCCACGGTGCTGGCGTTGCTGCAGCTGCCCTGATTGCCTGCCTTGGGTTATTTTTATGAATTACGGCATCAAGTCCTTCCCTGTTTCAATATGGGCCACCCCCCAGCCCTGAGTGCACAGCACACACTCGGTGTCGGCGTGGCGGGGGAAGAGCTGGCAGGTGCTGCCGGCAAGAGCGGGAATCACCGACAGGAGGTGAATGTTGGAGCTGGCATTGAGATTGCAGTAGAGCCATGAAACGTCTCACTTGTGCAATGTCATACAAATCAGTTCTCAGGCCAACAAGTCGACTGGACAGAGCTGTGTGGCGGGATGTGCTCCCCTGGCTGGGAGGGCAGCTCCTGAGATCCATCCCCACACAATCCCTGTAAAGTAACATACATGCAGGTATCCCCCAAAAATGCCAAGGCAGTGGAAAGAATTCAAGAAGGTTCATTTTGAAGACAAGAACATTCAAAAGCATCCAAAGGAAATTCTGCACCAGCTACAAGAGCACTGGGCCTGAGAAAGTCACTGATCTCTTCCAGGCTTCTCTATTATCGCTGCCCCCCCGGCTCTCTCGGGCCCTGTAGCGTGTCTGTAAGCGTTCTCTCTGTGCTCCCGTTGCAGACAGAGAGGCTGAGGACTTGTCTGGTAATGGGGGGAGGGAGAAAGCAGCCAAACTGCCTTTGAGAAAGGTGTTCCTTTTAGGCAGAAAAGCCTTCCTAAGGACCTAACTCTGTCTCCTCCTAACAAAATCTTCTGCAAGCCTTTTCTATCCTCACAATCCCACCCAGGCAGTGAGGTCCCAGCAGGGCTGTGAGGTCACAGAGCCCCGTGGTCCCACAGCACCACAATGACCGACCACTCAGTCCCTGACTGCAACTGTTGCGGCAGCAGCGGCGGCGGCAGCGGTGTCAGATTTGGTGGCGTTTGGACAGTGATTACTGGACAGTGATTACTGGACAGTGATTACTGGACAGAGATTACTGGACAGAGATTTTACAGCAGCGGTGTCAGGACAGCGGTGCCAGGACAGGGGTGTCAGGACAGCGGCGGCAGCAGTAGCTGCCGGACGGTGTGAGGGCGAGGGGCCATGGCCCTTGCTCTCCGCCTCTTCCTCCTCCTCCTCCTGGCAGTGGCCCTGCACGCCAGGGCTGCCCAGGCTGCTCCGGTGCCAGCGCGGGGAGCAGGTGAGCTGGCGGCCTGGGGCACCTTTCCCGGCCAGCGGGCTCTTCTCCCCGGGAAGGGTCTGGGATGGTTTTCCCCAGGGCTTTAGCCAGGGTTTCCTGGGTGTGGAGAGAGCGCCAAAGGGTCCTTGGCTGCTCCAGCCGCTCCCCCAGGGATGTTGCACAGGGCCTGGAACGAGTGTGCAGAGTGGCCAGGAGCCAGCCCAGAGCTGCCCAGGCCCCTCTGCAGCTCTGGCCATGTCCATTGACATCTGGATCCCACGGGGCTCCCCGAGCCCTTGCAGTGCCACAGTTCTCTGAGGCAGGAGGGGATCCCAGCATGCCATGGAAACGGTTCCCATCTCTGTTTCTAGATGACAACACTGGGAATGCTTCCCCATTAGACTGGCTGCGTAAAGTTTTGCAACCCTTGCAGCCTCCTGCAGGTAAGTTTTCAATGACTCCTCAAAGAAAAATATTTGACAACATGGCAAGAGCCAGATGACTGAAGCTTCTCTGGCTGTTGAGTTACAGGGGTGTCTGCAGGGAGGACTGTTCCAGCTCCTTTTCTGGTTCCTCGGCCCAAACTCCTCTCACATGGCAGAGGTGAGTAGTCTGTCCCTGCTGACCTCACAGGCTGAGCTCTGGTTTTCTCTAATCCGTTCATGTCAAATGGAACTGCTTGCCATTCAGGTCCTCCAAGAGGCAAGAGCCAACCTCCAGGAGAGAAAAAGACCCGTGAGTCAAATGAAGTTCTGAAAGAAATTTTGAAGGAACTTCAGAAAGGGCGAGGTGGATCTGTTTCCTCAGCCTGAGCCCAGTGTGGACAGGCAGTGGCTGCACAGCGGGAAGGGATCCATCGCAGCCTCGCTGCCCCGCTGCTGCTTTCCCACCTTGCGGGGCTGTTTCCCCGCCTGGCCTGGCTGCAGCTTCTCCCTGGCCTCTGCAGGAAGGCCTTGAGCATCCCCTGACCCCGTGCCCCAAATGCACCACGGGCCTTGCAAAGCAGGAGATCCCTTGTATCGTGAAGATGCCACCTCCTTAACGGAGAATGGTCCCATCTGATCCAGGTGTCCCTCTTGCTTTCCCCAGAGATGGACCAAGGGGCTGTTCACAAGTTAATGTTCCCTGAAGGAAGCAGTGGCTCCGTGCCAGGCTCTGCTGCGGGCAGGGAGGCGATGCCAGGCACGGGCACACGGGGTAATTGCTGAGGCGTGGTCAGCCGGTGTCGGCCATCGGGGTGGCTGTGTGGCAGCAGCTCTTCCCCCAGTGCCCGCTCGGGCCCGTCATAGCAGCAGCCAAAGCTGAAAGCACGACGGGTTGGAGGCATCTGGAGCATGTTCTGCAGCCCCTGGGAAACGGGACTCTGGCCCCAAGGTCCCTCCCGCTGCAGCTGCTCCCAGAGCTGGCCCTGAGTCTCGAGAGGCCCAAGGCACCAGAGCAGCCCAGAGCGGGATCCCTCCCGCGAGCCGAGGGCCGGAGCGCTCCCTGGCTCCCACCCTGGGCAGGGCTCACGTGTCTCCTGAGAGGGTCTGACTTCGTCCTCTTGGGCTGTGGGAGCTCTTCCGGGGCAGGGAGGGATGAGCTGGCACTGCCTGCTGCAGTCTTCCCCAGGGCTTTAGCCAGGGTTTCCTGAGTGCAGGAGACACCCCCGAGGGGCCCTTGGTTGCTCCAGCCGCTCCCCCAGGGATGTTGCACAGGGCCTGGAACGAGTGTGCAGAGCGGCCAGGAGCCAGCCCAGAGCTGCCCAGGCCCCTCTGCAGCTCTGGCCATGTCCATTGACATCTGGCCCCCACGGGGACCCCCAAGCCCCTGCAGTGCCACAGTTCTCTGAGGCAGGAGGGGATCCCAGCATGCCGTGGAAACAGTTCCCATCTCTGTTGGCTTCTAGATGAGAACACTGGGAATGCTTCTCCATTGGATTGGCTGCGTAAAGCTTTGGGGCCCTTGCAGCCTCCTGCAAGTAAGTTCTCAATGTCCCCTCAAAGAAAAATATTTGACAACATGGCAAGAACCAGGTGACAGAAACTTCTTTGGCTGTTGAGTTACAGGGGTGTCTGCAGGGAGGACTTTTCCAGCTCCTCTTCTGGTTGCTCCGCCCAAACTCCTCTCACATGGCAGAGGTGAGTAGTCTGTCTCTGCTGACCTCCCAGGCTGAGCTCAGGTTTTCTCTAATCTGTTCATGTCAAATGGAACTGCTTGCCATTCAGGTCCTCCAAGAGGCAAGAGCCAACCTCCAGGAGAGAAAAAGACCCATGAGTCAAATGAAGTTCTGAAAGAAATTTTGAAGGAACTTCAGAAAGGGCAAGGTGGGTCTCTTTCCTCAGCCTGAGCCGTGAGACCCATCAGCCGGGGGCTTTAGATCCACGTGTGGACAGGCAGTGGCTGCACAGCGGGAAGGGATCCATCGCAGCCTCGCTGCCCCGCTGCTGCTTTCCCGCCTTGTGGGGCTGTTTCCCCGCCTGGCCTGGCTGCAGCTTCTCCCCGGCCTCTGCAGGAAGGCCTTGAGCATCCCCTGACCCCGTGCCCCAAATGCACCACGGGCCCTGCAGACCAGGAGATCCCCTGCAATTGCCTGGTCTGGTCTCCCGGCAGCTCCGGTGTGGCGGCTGTTTGGAGGAGGGAGTGCCCTGACCCAGCCCCAAAAGCCTGGCTGTTTCCCTGGACCTTTCCCATGTTCTTTATAAGCATTGCCTCCTGAAGATGCCACTTCCCTTATGGAGAACAGCTCCCTCTGATCCAGCTGTCCCTCTTGCTTTCCCCAGAGATGGACCGAGGGGCTCTGTGGCAGGCGGCGTTCCCCGAAGGAAGCAGTGGCTCCGTGCCAGGCTCTGCTGAGGGCAGGGAGGCGATGCCAGGCACGGGCACACGGGGTAATTGCTGAGGCGTGGTCATCGGTGTCGGCCATCGGGGTGGCTGTGTGGCAGCAGCTCTTCCCCCAGTGCCCGCTCGGGCCCATCACGATGTGGGTTCAGTGAGGGTTTGCTCTGCACTCCTGAGAGAGTCCCGAGGGGCCCGTGGCTGCTCCAGCCGCTCCCCCAGGGATGTTGCACAGGGCCTGGAACGAGTGTGCGGTGCGGCCAGGAGCCAGCCCAGAGCTGCCCAGGCCCCTCTGCAGCTCTGGCCATGTCCATTGACATCTGGCCCCCACGGGGCTCCCCGAGCCCCTGCAGTGCCACAGTTCTCTGAGGCAGGAGGGGATCCCAGCATGCCATGGAAACGGTTCCCATCCCTGTTTGCTTCTAGACAGGAATCATGACTTGGATGATCTGGAAATCCTGCTGAATGATGCACTGAATTTCCTGGGGTAACCCGGAGGCAAATTCTCAGTGTCCCTTTCCTGACAGAATAATCCCTTTCATGTGGCAAGAGCTCATTCATGTGCCATTTTCCTTAAGACCCTCTCAAGGTTGCTGGATTGTGGCAATCATGGCCGACTCTTTGCTCAGGCCCAAGAGGGATCCCACAGGATCCCTGTCAGGGGGAGCTTTTAATCTTCTTTCCCTGGAGATGCCAGTTGCTCCCTCCGTGTGGACACGGAGAAGGGCAGAGAGGGAAGGGGCCGGGCCCAGGGCTGTGCCCGGGGGGCTGTGCCTGGCGCGGCTCCTTTGCCGGCCCCTCGGAGCCGGAGGTGCTCCCGCTGCGGCTGCCAAGCCATGGCCCTCGCTGGGGCTGAGTTTGGAGCTGGGGCAGCTCCAGGGAGTCCCTGGTGCCCTGACAGCTCTGCGTGGGCTCCTTTGGTGCCAGCGAGGGGCCACTGCTGGCCTGTGGGAGCTCTGCCCCTGCTCCTGAGGGGAGGGCAGAGATGAGGGCCCTGCAGGGATCCCGTTGCCCAGTTGCACTCCCTGCCCCTCCGGCCTGACGGAGAGTCTGGAACTGGGTCACGGGAGCTCTTCTGTCCTGCCCTTCTTTGCAGCCAAGCCTGGGGGTGACGGTGATCAGGAACCTGGAGTGGGGCCCAGGACTGAGCCTCCGGAAGGTCGTGTGGGTACGTTGTGGCTTTTCCCCCTGGGAGAGCTGCCAGCTCAGAGCCCAAAGCTGGGCCAGCCGGGCGCCTCTGCAGGGGCCAGGACAGAGACCTGCCCGTGTGTGCCCTGTCCCTGCGGGATCCCCTCACCCCCACTGTACCTCAGGGCTGCCCGTGCAGAGCCCCAGGGATGACACAAGTGTCTCTGCCTGTTGAGTTACAGGGGTGTCCGCAGGGAGGACTTTTCCAGCTCCTCTGCTGATTCCTCTGAGCAAGACCACCTCATATGGCATGAGTGAGTAGTCTGTCCCTGCTGACCTCACAGCCTGAGCTCTGGTTTTCTCTAATCCATTCATGTCAAATGGAACTGCTTGCCATTCAGGTCCTCCAAGAGGCAAGAGCCAACGTCCAGGAGAGAAAAAGACCCTTGAGTCAAATGAAGTTCTGAAAGAAATTTTGAAGGAACTTCAGAAAGGGCGCTCCCTGGCTCCCACCCTGGGCAGAGGGTCTCGTGTCTCCTCAGAGGGCCTGACTCCATCCCCTTGGGCTGTGGGAGCTGTCCCAGGGCAGGGAAGGATGAGGCTGGCACTGCCTGCTGCAGGGATGGGTTGTGTGCGTGTCCCTCAAAGGAGTGACTGCTCAAGCAGCTCCGCTCCCCCCGGGCTCTCCTCCCGGCCTTCTGGGTTTGCTTTGGTGGGACAGCCTGTCCCCAGGGCTGGGAGCCTCCAGGCACCCGCACTGAGGGAAACAGAGAATGTCCTGGCTGTGTCCAACGTGCTGTCGGCTTAGCAGGGGTGCCCAGGACGGGCTAACGCTCCAAATTGCTCCCGCAGATGCAGCCGGTGCCACAACACGTGCTCCCAAGATCCAGGAGAGCACTGGGAGAGATTTCTGTTGGGGAACCGGCTGTTTGAGTGTGATAGTGGCAAGCGTGTTGGAAGGGCTGCTTGTCTTCCTGTTGTGCTGTGCTGGAATCTGGTACTGGAGGGTGAGAAAACGGTGAGTTGTTTGTTGATCTCCCCCTCAAACAGCTTCTTTTGAAGGCAGCTCCTAGCCATGGAACATTCCCAGCCTGGCTGCTGTGGAGCGGCCAGTTAGTCCTTGGCCAAAGAACTCTGCTGAGGGTTCTGCTGCTGTCCAGTGCTGTCCTGGCCTCTCAGCTGCTGGGCCCCTCCTGGGGAGCCCGCTGGGACTGGAGCCAGTGCTGGCTCCAAGTGAGCCTGCCTGGCCAAGAGCAGCCCCAGCAGGACGGGCAGAGGCAAAGCAAGGTGGGGAGGAGAAGGAGCGGGGACGAGATTGCCCTTGGAAGGCAGACGTGCCCTGGCGCCCGCTCCTGCCCAGGGCCCCTGCCCAGAGCCATCCCCCTGCTCGCTGGGGCCTTGAGGGGCAGGTGTCCACCGGGGCCAAGGTGTGCCAGCAGCTCCCCCGTGCTGCTGAGCCTTGCCAGCTCTGGGCCCTGCTGGGCAGCAGAGTCCCTGTGTGCCCCCTGCAGCTGGGCCTCAGCCACCTCCTCTCTCCACAGGCTCCTCTCTGCTCCTGCTCCAGCCCAGCCAAACACCTCGGGCAGGAAGAGCTGGACCTCTCATCTCTGCTCTTCCTGCCCAAAGCCGGCTGTGCTGACGCGGCTGAAGAACGGGCTTCTCACCCTCCTGGTCCAGCTGCCAGGAAAAGGAGCCCCTCTGCCCCCGAGCCCTGCGGCCCCACCCTCCAGCCCCGTCTAAAGGTGGTCCTGCCCTGCCAGGGTAGGGATTTTGGCCACCTTAATATATAAATAAATAGAAATAAACCCTCAGCTGAGTGTCTGGGTGGTCCCACCAGCAAAGCCCCAAGGCCCCAGCCCTGGCTGAGCTCCGTGCCCGGGCGCAGCCGTGGATGCCCACGGTGTGGGCAGGCAGGAGCCAGGCTGGGGCTGGGGGAGCCCGTGGTGAGGGACCTTGGGCTGCACATTGCAGGAGGGAATTTGGAGTCCCCCGTAAGGTGGGACTGGTGTCCCTCAGGAGGCACCCGGGCATATTTGGAGGTGTCTTCTCTGGTGTGCAGGGGTGAGGGCCCCTGAAGAAGTGTGGGGGGGCTGCAGTCCCTTGTGAGGCACCCAGGGATATTTTGGGGTCTCTCCTGAGGGCTGCAGGGGGCTGAGGTCCCCCATAAGACTTGCAGGGGACTGAGGACTGTCATGAGGAACATGGGGGGGGGTTGAATTTTCCTCTAAGGCGGGCAGGGGGTTTGGGGTCTTTCATAAGCCGTGCAGGGGGCTGCGGCCTCTCATGAGGTTCTCAGTGGGTCTGGGGCCTCTTCTGTGGTGTGCAGGTGCCTGGAGACCCTTTAAGGCACGCAGGGGGCTGGGGTCCCTCGTGTGGCTCACAGGGATATTTTGGGGTCTCTCCTAAGGCGTGCAGGGGGCTGGGGTCCCTCGGCAGGCACGCAGCGGGGTTAAACTTTGGGGGGTTTCTTGCTGTTCTTCCCAGGCCGAGCTCTGAGTCGAGGCCATGCCGAGCTGGGAGCAAATGTGCTGTCCCTGCTCTGCCCGGGCTCCTGGAACAGCGGGCGGGCCCATCCCATCCCATCCCATCCCATCCCATCCCATCCCACCCCATCCCATCCCATCCCATCCCACCCCATCCCATCCCATCCCATCCCATCCCGGGGCCCTTCCCAGGGCAGTCTGGCCGGGCCAGGGACCCACGGGGCGAAGGGGCCGCGGGGCAGCCTGACGAGCCGAGGGGAGGCACAACAAGGGGCCTCCTCGCTGAGCCCTTGGCTGGAGCTTTTCCGAAGCAGAATTCCGGTGTTAAGAGCCTCCAAAGCAGCCAAGAGCCAGAGGAGCTCACGGAAACTTTCATGCGAATCCAAGGCAGACCCCACTGCACACCCCGCGCTGAGCTCTCTGCCCCTGACAGCGCTCGCAGCCTCTTTTCTCCCGTGCCCGAGCGCGGGTCCCTCCCCGTTCCCCCGCTGGCCCAGGGACCGCGGGGTTACACCTTCCCCACACGCCCACAGCGCCCCCAGTCCCCGGCCAGCAGGGGAAGGGGCCCCGGCCTTGCCCAAAGGGGGGTCCGAGTCTTTGCTGCTGGTTGGTCCCCTTGTCTCTGGGCAAACTGCACCTCTCTGTGTCTGACAACTGCACCACCAGGCCCTTGGCACTGCACCGCCGACTTTGCAAGAGCGCCTCTTCATCCCTAAGAGAGCCCAACACACACCTACAGCCCCGGCGCTTCGCCAGGGCACAGGAGGCACTGCGGGGGGACAGCTGAGCCCGTGGCTTCTCACACCAGCGGCAGCCTGGCACTGGGAGTTCCGAGGCCACGCCTTAGACGGCAGTGACCATGGCCCACAAGCTGGGAAGGTCTTGAGGGGCAGAGACTTTCAACGCTTCTCCCCGGGAAGAGTGGCTGATCCTGGGGCTTTTTTCATCTTTTCCCCTCAAAACCAATATCTTGACAGGGAGTAACACACCTTAGCTCCACCCTCCTGTGGCCTCTGATGTGCAGGGGTGGTTGTGCAGGCATTTTACAGAAACTGCCCTCCGTTTATTCCCCTGCAGAACCAATGTCATAACATCCCAAAAAGGGGCTTCTTATTCACTGTTGTCATAGCTGAGATACTCGGACAGATGTTACAATTCCAAGTACTTGGATCCAAAGCTGGCTCAAGTCAGCAAAGGATAAAGTGACAGTGGACACTGCTCAGTTCTTAGGGCAGAGGGAGTGGGAACAGAAAGTGCTCTCCCAAATAAAGAGTTCCATGTTCACTGCTGGTGTTTAATACATCCCTTTGCCTGCAGGAGAGCTTGTTATCTCTTTCCAAGGATGGCATTTCTCCGTTCCAGCCACTGGAAGCCCATGGCTGCCGGAATGCAAATGCTATTGCGACCGCCAAGGGAACTGGGAGCCTCAGTTGCAGTAGAGGGACACCCAGCCTTTTTCCTTTAATGTCGTGGCAGTCCAGTCTGCAATGGATGAATTCCTTGCTGCTGTTGGCTAACCCTTGTGCTGGTACCAAGGTGCCATCCCTTGGATGGAGCAGGCAGGGAGGGATCACAGGCCCACGGTGCTGGCGTTGCTGCAGCTGCCCTGATTGCCTGCCTTGGGTTATTTTTATGAATTACGGCATCAAGTCCTTCCCTGTTTCAATATGGGCCACCCCCCAGCCCTGAGTGCACAGCACACACTCGGTGTCGGCGTGGCGGGGGAAGAGCTGGCAGGTGCTGCCGGCAAGAGCGGGAATCACCGACAGGAGGTGAATGTTGGAGCTGGCATTGAGATTGCAGTAGAGCCATGAAACGTCTCACGTGTGCAATGTCATACAAATCAGTTCTCAGGCCAACAAGTCGACTGGACAGAGAGATCCATCCCCACACAATCCCTGTAAAGTAACATACATGCAGGTATCCCCCAAAAATGCCAAGGCAGTGGAAAGAATTCAAGAAGGTTCATTTTGAAGACAAGAACATTCAAAAGCATCCAAAGGAAATTCTGCACCAGCTACAAGAGCACTGGGCCTGAGAAAGTCACTGAATCAGTTCTCAGGCCAACCCCCCCGACTGGACAGAGCTGTGTGGCGGTCTGTAAGCGCTCCCCTGCTCTGGGAGGGCAGACAGAGAGAGATCCACTCCCCACACAATCCCTGTAAAGTAACATACATGCAGGTATCCCCCAAAAAGGCAAAAGCCTTGGAAAGAATTCAAGAAGGTTCATTTTGAAGACAAGTCTCCTCCTAACAAAATCTTCTGCAAGCCTTTTCATCCTCACAAGAGCCAAACTCCTTAGAGAAAGGTGTTCCTTTTAGGCAGAAAAGCCTTCCTCTGTCTCCTCCTAACAAAATCTTCTGCAAGCCTTTTCTATCCTCACAATCCCACCCAGGCAGTGAGGTCACAGCAGGGCTGTGAGGTCACAGAGCCCCGTGGTCCCACAGCACCACAATGACCGACCACTCAGTCCCTGACTGCAACTGTTGCGGCAGCAGCGGCGGCGGCAGCGGTGTCAGATTTGGTGGCGTTTGGACAGTGATTACTGGACGGTGATTACTAGACAGTGATTACTGGACAGTGATTACTGGACAGAGATTACTGGACAGAGATTTTACAGCAGCGGTGTCAGGACAGCGGTGCCAGGACAGGGGTGTCAGGACAGCGGCGGCAGCAGTAGCTGCCGGACGGTGTGAGGGCGAGGGGCCATGGCCCTTGCTCTCCGCCTCTTCCTCCTCCTCCTCCTGGCAGTGGCCCTGCACGCCAGGGCTGCCCAGGCTGCTCCGGTGCCAGCGTGGGGAGCAGGTGAGCCGGCGGCCTGGGGCACCTTTCCCAGCCAGTGGGCTCTTCTCCCCGGGAAGGGTCTGGGATGGTTTTCCCCAGGGCTTTAGCCAGGGTTTCCTGAGTGCAGGAGACACCCCCGAGGGGCCCTTGGCTGCTCCAGCCGCTCCCCCAGGGATGTTGCACAGGGCCTGGAACGAGTGTGCAGAGCGGCCAGGAGCCAGCCCAGAGCTGCCCAGGCCCCTCTGCAGCTCTGGCCATGTCCATTGACATCTGGATCCCACGGGGCTCCCCGAGCCCTTGCAGTGCCACAGTTCTCTGAGGCAGGAGGGGATCCCAGCATGCCATGGAAACGGTTCCCATCTCTGTTTGCTTCCAGATGAGAACACTGGGAATGCTTCCCCATTAGACTGGCTGCGTAAAGTTTTGCAACCCTTGCAGCCTCCTGCAGGTAAGTTCTCAATGACTCCTCAAAGAAAAATATTTGACAACATGGCAAGAGCCAGATGACTGAAGCTTCTCTGGCTGTTGAGTTACAGGGGTGTCTGCAGGGAGGACTGTTCCAGCTCCTTTTCTGGTTCCTCGGCCCAAACTCCTCTCACATGGCAGAGGTGAGTAGTCTGTCCCTGCTGACCTCACAGGCTGAGCTCTGGTTTTCTCTAATCTGTTCATGTCAAATGGAACTGCTTGCCATTCAGGTCCTCCAAGAGGCAAGAGCCAACCTCCAGGAGAGAAAAAGACCCGTGAGTCAAATGAAGTTCTGAAAGAAATTTTGAAGGAACTTCAGAAAGGGCGAGGTGGATCTGTTTCCTCAGCCTGAGCCCAGTGTGGAGAGGCAGTGGCTGCACAGCGGGAAGGGATCCATCGCAGCCTCGCTGCCCCGCTGCTGCTTTCCCGCCTTGCGGGGCTGTTTCCCCGCCTGGCCTGGCTGCAGCTTCTCCCTGGCCTCTGCAGGAAGGCCTTGAGCATCCCCTGACCCCGTGCCCCAAATGCACCACGGGCCTTGCAAAGCAGGAGATCCCTTGTATCGTGAAGATGCCACCTCCTTAACGGAGAATGGTCCCATCTGATCCAGGTGTCCCTCTTGCTTTCCCCAGAGATGGACCAAGGGGCTGTTCACAAGTTAATGTTCCCTGAAGGAAGCAGTGGCTCCGTGGCAGGCTCTGCTGCGGGCAGGGAGGCGATGCCAGGCACGGGCACACGGGGTAATTGCTGAGGCGTGGTCAGCCGGTGTCGGCCATCGGGGTGGCTGTGTGGCAGCAGCTCTTCCCCCAGTGCCCGCTCGGGCCCGTCATAGCAGCAGCCAAAGCTGAAAGCACGACGGGTTGGAGGCATCTGGAGCATGTTCTGCAGCCCCTGGGAAACGGGACTCTGGCCCCAAGGTCCCTCCCGCTGCAGCTGCTCCCAGAGCTGGCCCTGAGTCTCGAGAGGCCCAAGGCACCAGAGCAGCCCAGAGCGGGATCCCTCCCGCGAGCCGAGGGCCGGAGCGCTCCCTGGCTCCCACCCTGGGCAGGGCTCACGTGTCTCCTGAGAGGGTCTGACTTCGTCCTCTTGGGCTGTGGGAGCTCTTCCGGGGCAGGGAGGGATGAGCTGGCACTGCCTGCTGCAGTCTTCCCCAGGGCTTTAGCCAGGGTTTCCTGAGTGCAGGAGACACCCCCGAGGGGCCCTTGGTTGCTCCAGCCGCTCCCCCAGGGATGTTGCACAGGGCCTGGAACGAGTGTGCAGAGCGGCCAGGAGCCAGCCCAGAGCTGCCCAGGCCCCTCTGCAGCTCTGGCCATGTCCATTGACATCTGGCCCCCACGGGGACCCCCAAGCCCCTGCAGTGCCACAGTTCTCTGAGGCAGGAGGGGATCCCAGCATGCCGTGGAAACAGTTCCCATCTCTGTTGGCTTCTAGATGAGAACACTGGGAATGCTTCTCCATTGGATTGGCTGCGTAAAGCTTTGGGGCCCTTGCAGCCTCCTGCAAGTAAGTTCTCAATGTCCCCTCAAAGAAAAATATTTGACAACATGGCAAGAACCAGGTGACAGAAACTTCTTTGGCTGTTGAGTTACAGGGGTGTCTGCAGGGAGGACTTTTCCAGCTCCTCTTCTGGTTGCTCCGCCCAAACTCCTCTCACATGGCAGAGGTGAGTAGTCTGTCTCTGCTGACCTCCCAGGCTGAGCTCAGGTTTTCTCTAATCTGTTCATGTCAAATGGAACTGCTTGCCATTCAGGTCCTCCAAGAGGCAAGAGCCAACCTCCAGGAGAGAAAAAGACCCATGAGTCAAATGAAGTTCTGAAAGAAATTTTGAAGGAACTTCAGAAAGGGCAAGGTGGGTCTCTTTCCTCAGCCTGAGCCGTGAGACCCATCAGCCGGGGGCTTTAGATCCACGTGTGGACAGGCAGTGGCTGCACAGCGGGAAGGGATCCATCGCAGCCTCGCTGCCCCGCTGCTGCTTTCCCGCCTTGTGGGGCTGTTTCCCCGCCTGGCCTGGCTGCAGCTTCTCCCTGGCCTCTGCAGGAAGGCCTTGAGCATCCCCTGACCCCGTGCCCCAAATGCACCACGGGCCCTGCAGACCAGGAGATCCCCTGCAATTGCCTGGTCTGGTCTCCCGGCAGCTCCGGTGTGGCGGCTGTTTGGAGGAGGGAGTGCCCTGACCCAGCCCCAAAAGCCTGGCTGTTTCCCTGGACCTTTCCCATGTCTTTTATAAGCATTGCCTCCTGAAGATGCCACTTCCCTTATGGAGAACAGCTCCCTCTGATCCAGCTGTCCCTCTTGCTTTCCCCAGAGATGGACCAAGGGGCTCTGTGGCAGGCGGCGTTCCCCAAAGGAAGCAGTGGCTCCGTGCCAGGCTCTGCTGAGGGCAGGGAGGCGATGCCAGGCACGGGCAGCTCTGGTCCCCCAGTGCTCTTCCCCCAGTGCCCCCTCGGGCCCATCACGATGTGGGTTCAGTGAGGGTTTGCTCTGCACTCCTGAGAGAGTCCCGAGGGGCCCGTGGCTGCTCCAGCCGCTCCCCCAGGGATGTTGCACAGGGCCTGGAACGAGTGTGCGGTGCGGCCAGGAGCCAGCCCAGAGCTGCCCAGGCCCCTCTGCAGCTCTGGCCATGTCCATTGACATCTGGCCCCCACGGGGCTCCCCGAGCCCCTGCAGTGCCACAGTTCTCTGAGGCAGGAGGGGATCCCAGCATGCCATGGAAACGGTTCCCATCCCTGTTTGCTTCTAGACAGGAATCATGACTTGGATGATCTGGAAATCCTGCTGAATGATGCACTGAATTTCCTGGGGCAACCTGGAGGCAAATTCTCAGTGTCCCTTTCCTGACAGAATAATCCCTTTCAATGTGGCAAGAGCTCATTCATGTGCCATTTTCCTTAAGACCCTCTCAAGGTTGCTGGATTGTGGCAATCATGGCCGACTCTTTGCTCAGGCCCAAGAGGGATCCCACAGGATCCCTGTCAGGGGGAGCTTTTAATCTTCTTTCCCTGGAGATGCCAGTTGCTCCCTCCGTGTGGACACGGAGAAGGGCAGAGAGGGAAGGGGCCGGGCCCAGGGCTGTGCCCGGGGGGCTGTGCCTGGCGCGGCTCCTTTGCCGGCCCCTCGGAGCCGGAGGTGCTCCCGCTGCGGCTGCCAAGCCATGGCCCTCGCTGGGGCTGAGTTTGGAGCTGGGGCAGCTCCAGGGAGTCCCTGGTGCCCTGACAGTTCTGCGTGGGCTCCTTTGGTGCCAGCGAGGGGCCACTGCTGGCCTGTGGGAGCTCTGCCCCTGCTCCTGAGGGGAGGGCAGAGATGAGGGCCCTGCAGGGATCCCGTTGCCCAGTTGCACTCCCTGCCCCTCCGGCCTGACGGAGAGTCTGGAACTGGGTCACGGGAGCTCTTCTGTCCTGCCCTTCTTTGCAGCCAAGCCTGGGGGTGACGGTGATCAGGAACCTGGAGTGGGGCCCAGGACTGAGCCTCCGGAAGGTCGTGTGGGTACGTTGTGGCTTTTCCCCCTGGGAGAGCTGCCAGCTCAGAGCCCAAAGCTGGGCCAGCCGGGCGCCTCTGCAGGGGCCAGGACAGAGACCTGCCCGTGTGTGCCCTGTCCCTGCGGGATCCCCTCACCCCCACTGTACCTCAGGGCTGCCCGTGCAGAGCCCCAGGGATGACACAAGTGTCTCTGCCTGTTGAGTTACAGGGGTGTCCGCAGGGAGGACTTTTCCAGCTCCTCTGCTGATTCCTCTGAGCAAGACCACCTCATATGGCATGAGTGAGTAGTCTGTCCCTGCTGACCTCACAGCCTGAGCTCTGGTTTTCTCTAATCCATTCATGTCAAATGGAACTGCTTGCCATTCAGGTCCTCCAAGAGGCAAGAGCCAACGTCCAGGAGAGAAAAAGACCCTTGAGTCAAATGAAGTTCTGAAAGAAATTTTGAAGGAACTTCAGAAAGGGCGCTCCCTGGCTCCCACCCTGGGCAGAGGGTCTCGTGTCTCCTCAGAGGGCCTGACTCCATCCCCTTGGGCTGTGGGAGCTGTCCCAGGGCAGGGAAGGATGAGGCTGGCACTGCCTGCTGCAGGGATGGGTTGTGTGCGTGTCCCTCAAAGGAGTGACTGCTCAAGCAGCTCCGCTCCCCCCGGGCTCTCCTCCCGGCCTTCTGGGTTTGCTTTGGTGGGACAGCCTGTCCCCAGGGCTGGGAGCCTCCAGGCACCCGCACTGAGGGAAACAGAGAATGTCCTGGCTGTGTCCAACGTGCTGTCGGCTTAGCAGGGGTGCCCAGGACGGGCTAACGCTCCAAATTGCTCCCGCAGATGCAGCCGGTGCCACAACACGTGCTCCCAAGATCCAGGAGAGCACTGGGAGAGATTTCTGTTGGGGAACCGGCTGTTTGAGTGTGATAGTGGCAAGCATGTTGGAAGGGCTGCTTGTCTTCCTGTTGTGCTGTGCTGGAATCTGGTACTGGAGGGTGAGAAAACGGTGAGTTGTTTGTTGATCTCCCCCTCAAACAGCTTCTTTTGAAGGCAGCTCCTAGCCATGGAACATTCCCAGCCTGGCTGCTGTGGAGCGGCCAGTTAGTCCTTGGCCAAAGAACTCTGCTGAGGGTTCTGCTGCTGTCCAGTGCTGTCCTGGCCTCTCAGCTGCTGGGCCCCTCCTGGGGAGCCCGCTGGGACTGGAGCCAGTGCTGGCTCCAAGTGAGCCTGCGTGGCCAAGAGCAGCCCCAGCAGGACGGGCAGAGGCAAAGCAAGGTGGGGAGGAGAAGGAGCGGGGACGAGATTGCCCTTGGAAGGCAGACGTGCCCTGGCGCCCGCTCCTGCCCAGGGCCCCTGCCCAGAGCCATCCCCCTGCTCGCTGGGGCCTTGAGGGGCAGGTGTCCACCGGGGCCAAGGTGTGCCAGCAGCTCCCCCGTGCTGCTGAGCCTTGCCAGCTCTGGGCCCTGCTGGGCAGCAGAGTCCCTGTGTGCCCCCTGCAGCTGGGCCTCAGCCACCTCCTCTCTCCACAGGCTCCTCTCTGCTCCTGCTCCAGCCCAGCCAAACACCTCGGGCAGGAAGAGCTGGACCTCTCATCTCTGCTCTTCCTGCCCAAAGCCGGCCGTGCTGACGCGGCTGAAGAACGGGCTTCTCACCCTCCTGGTCCAGCTGCCAGGAAAAGGAGCCCCTCTGCCCCCGAGCCCTGCGGCCCCACCCTCCAGCCCAGTCTAAAGGTGGTCCTGCCCTGCCAGGGTAGGGATTTGGGCCACCTTAATGTACAAATAAATAGAAATAAACCCTCCCTTGAGTGTCCGGGTGGTCCCACCAGCAAAGCCCCAAGGCCCCAGCCCTGGCTGAGCTCCGTGCCTGGGCGCAGCCGTGGATGCCCACGGTGTGGGCAGGCAGGAGCCAGGCTGGGGCTGGGGGAGCCTGTGGTGAGGGACCTTGGGCTGAGGGCACATTCATTGCAGCGGGACCATCTGGGCCTTGTGCTCCTCAAATGGGCTGCTTTATGGTTCCCAAAGCCAGGGGGTGGAGCTTTAGTGATGAATATTCAGAAATCACCTCCTCACCCGGAGGTGTGGACTTGAAAGGAAAAAGCCAAGGTCTAGAAGGGGAAGGGGCCACCCTTCTCCCCTGCGTTGGAGGGCCACCCTTCTCCCCTGCGTCACTTCTCTCAAGGCAACCTGCAGTGGCAATCGCTGCTGGGGCTGCCACTGCCCGCACTGCAGCGAGAGACTTTGCCAGGAAGAGCCCTCCCCGAGATCCAGATTCTGCTGGGTTCTGGTTTTCTGGTTTTTTCTGTTGCTGAAATTGCAGCGTGGTCTGCCCAAAAGGAGCGAAGGCGGGAGCCTGCAAGTGGCAACTGTTGCTACTGCTGCTCCCTGCCCAGGGAGAGACTGCTGCTGTAGTCACCCCGGCAGATGCCACAGCCCCGCTGGCTACTGCACCCGCTGCTGTTCCTCACAGCAACAGAGAGGGAGAGAGAGGGAGACAGCCTGCCCCCTGCCTCTGTGTCCTGCCATCTTCCTGCGACAGTGTGTTTTAATTTGGGTTTTGATTCCATCTTTTTCCTTGCTAACATTTTTAGTTACTAGATCTCGGGCCACTAATTGGGATATATATATATATATATTTTATTTTGGTTTTGTTCCCTTTCCCTTCCCCCTTCCCTTTCCCTTGGGAAATTGTATATTTTAATTGTATATAAGTGTAACATAGGTGTAAATATATTTATATATATCACTTTAGCTGTCTCTCTCTCGTTTCTGGTTTTCTTTAGGTTTTTTTTCTCCCTCTTCTCCCTGAGGTTTTGGGGGCGGGGGGCAGGGACATCTGGTGGTAAATTTTGGAGACTTGGCAGGGAGCCAGCTTCAAAGCATATCAGGCAGGAAGAGCTGGACCTCTCATCTCTGCTCTTCCTGCCCAAAGCCGGCCGTGCTGACGCGGCTGAAGAACGGGCTTCTCACTCTCCTGGTCCAGCTGCCAGGAAAAGGAGCCCCTCTGCCCCCGAGCCCTGCGGCCCCACCCTCCAGCCCAGTCTAAAGGTGGTCCTGCCCTGCCAGGGTTGGGGTTGGCCCACCTTTATGTACAAATAAATAGAAATAAACCCTCTCTTGAGTGTCCGGGTGGTCCCACCAGCAAAGCCCCAAGGCCCCAGCCCTGGCTGAGCTCCGTGCCCGGGCGCAGCCGTGGATGCCCACGGTGTGGGCAGGCAGGAGCCAGGCTGGGGCTGGGGGAGCCCGTGGTGAGGGACCTTGGGCTGACGGCTGACCGCGTGGTCCAGAGGGCAGAGAAAGCCTCCCGCCATTTTGTGTTTGTCAGGGGAAGCCACAGGGCAGCCGCCATTTGGGGGTTTGTCCCCCCTGGCCCCGCACTCCAGCCGGGCCTGAAGGTGGGCCCCCACCAGGGTGAGGGTTGGCCCACCCATTCTGTACAAAGAGAGACTGAGCCCTCACCAAGTGGCCGGGAAAGCTGGGCTGGGGGTCCCCATACTGTTGAAGGTAGAGTTACGCCCTGACTCAACTCTCCTCTTGAGGAAAGAGTTACCAGTTAAAAAGATCAGACTTTTGTAGACTCTTTGAAAATGCATGTTATGAGTTTATGTTGTGCTTTATGTCTTACTGTAAAATTCCTGTTTATTGTACCCCAGTTATCCTCTCTATCCCCTTTGTCCCTAAACTCTGTTTTCCTGTTGATCAGTATTTGGTGCATTGCCGCAGTTATCCACGTATGGTTCTGTTTTCCCTTTATGGTTATAATTTACATGCTCCGCCTTAACTCCTCCTTTTGTTCTAGCACCTTCCCTACCCTACCTTATATAAGGCGGAAGCCATGTTCTATTGGAGCCTTTTCTGCTTGTCTTTGACTTGTTCAGTTGTGTTCTTTTACATTTCCCCATAATAAAGCTGTCTAGCCATTCTCCCGGACGAAGTTGCGGACCTGCTTATTCCTGGCACACGCCGCAGACGGGCAGAGGCAAAGCAAGGTGGGGAGGAGAAGGAGCGGGGACGAGATTGCCCTTGGAAGGCAGACGTGCCCTGGCGCCCGCTCCTGCCCAGGGCCCCTGCCCAGAGCCCTCCCCCTGCTCGCTGGGGCCTTGAGGGGCAGGTGTCCACCGGGGCCAAGGTGTGCCAGCAGCTCCCCCGTGCTGCTGAGCCTTGCCAGCTCTGGGCCCTGCTGGGCAGCAGAGTCCCTGTGTGCCCCCTGCAGCTGGGCCTCAGCCACCTCCTCTCTCTAGGTCCCTAAACTCTGTTTTCCTGTCCTGAGCTCAGTATTTGGTGCATTGCCGCAGTTATCCATGTATGGTTCTGTTTTCCCTTTATGGTTATAATTTACATGCTCCGCCTTAACTCCTCCTTTTGTTCTAGCACCTTCCCTACCCTACCTTATATAAGGCGGAAGCCATGTTCTATTGGAGCCTTTTCTGCTTGTCTTTGACTTGTTCAGTTGTGTTCTTTTACATTTCCCCATAATAAAGCTGTCTAGCCATTCTCCCGGACGAAGTTGCGGACCTGCTTATTCCTGGCACACGCCGCAGACGGGCAGAGGCAAAGCAAGGTGGGGAGGAGAAGGAGCGGGGACGAGATTGCCCTTGGAAGGCAGACGTGCCCTGGCGCCCGCTCCTGCCCAGGGCCCCTGCCCAGAGCCATCCCCCTGCTCGCTGGGGCCTTGAGGGGCAGGTGTCCACCGGGGCCAAGGTGTGCCAGCAGCTCCCCCGTGCTGCTGAGCCTTGCCAGCTCTGGGCCCTGCTGGGCAGCAGAGTCCCTGTGTGCCCCCTGCAGCTGGGCCTCAGCCACCTCCTCTCTCCACAGGCTCCTCTCTGCTCCTGCTCCAGCCCAGCCAAACACCTCGGGCAGGAAGAGCTGGACCTCTCATCTCTGCTCTTCCTGCCCAAAGCCGGCCGTGCTGACGCGGCTGAAGAACGGGCTTCTCACTCTCCTGGTCCAGCTGCCAGGAAAAGGAGCCACTCTGCCCCCGAGCCCTGCGGCCCCGCCCTCCAGCCCAGTCTAAAGGTGGTCCTGCCCTGCCAAGGTAGGGATTTGGGCCACCTTAATATACAAATAAATAGCAATAAACCCTCAGCTGAGTGTCTGGGTGGTCCCACCAGCAAAGCCCCAAGGCCCCAGCCCTGGCTGAGCTCCGTGCCCGGGCGCAGCCGTGGATGCCCACGGTGTGGGCAGGCAGGAGCCAGGCTGGGGCTGGGGGAGCCCGTGGTGAGGGACCTTGGGCTGAGGGCACATTTATTGCAGGAGGGAATTTGGAGTCCCCCGTAAGGTGGGACTGGTGTCCCTCAGGAGGCACCCGGGCATATATGGAGGTGTCTTCTCTGGTGTGCAGGCGTGAGGGCCCGTGAAGAAGTGTGGGGGGGTTGCAGTCCCTTGTGAGGCACCCAGGGATATTTTGGTGTCTCTCCTGAGGGCTGCAGGGGGCTGAGGTCCCCCATAAGACTTGCAGGGGGCTGAGGACTGTCATGAGGAACATGGGGGGGGGTTGGATTTTCCTCTAAGGCGGGCAGGGGGTTTGGGGTCTTTCATAAGCCGTGCAGGGGGCTGCGGCCTCTCATGAGGTTCTCAGTGGGTCTGGGGCCTCTTCTGTGGTGTGCAGGTGCCTGGAGACCCTTTAAGGCATGCAGGGGGCTGGGGTCCCTCGTGTGGCACACAGCAGGGTTAAACTTTAGGGGGTTCCTTGCTTTTCTTCCCAGGCCGGGCTCTGAGTCGAGGCCATGCCGAGCTGGGAGCAAATGTACTGTCCCTGCTCTGCCCGGGCTGCTGGAACAGCAGGCGGGCCCATCCCATCCCATCCCATCCCATCCCATCCCATCCCACCCCATCCCATCCCATCCCACCCCATCCCATCCCATCCCGGGGCCCTTCCCAGGGCAGTCTGGCCGGGCCAGGGACCCGCGGGGCGAAGGGGCCGCGGGGCAGCCTGACGAGCCGGGGGGAGGCACAACAAGGGGCCTCCTCGCTGAGCCCTTGGCTGGAGCTTTTCCGAAGCAGAATTCCGGTGTTAAGAGCCTCCAAAGCAGCCAAGAGCCAGAGGAGCTCCCGGAAACTTTCATGCGAATCCAAGGCAGACCCCACTGCACACCCCGCGCTGAGCTCTCTGCCCCTGACAGCGCTCGCAGCCTCTTTTCTCCCGTGCCCGAGCGCGGGTCCCTCCCCGTTCCCCCGCTGGCCCAGGGACCGCGGGGTTACACCTTCCCCACACGCCCACAGCGCCCCCAGTCCACGGCCAGCAGGGGAAGGGGCCCCGGCCTTGCCCAAAGGGGGGCCCGAGTCTTTGCTGCTGGTTGGTCCCCTTGTCTCTGGGCAAACTGCACCTCTCTGTGTCTGACAACTGCACCACCAGGCCCTTGGCACTGCACCGCCGACTTTGCAAGAGCGCCTCTTCATCCCTAAGAGAGCCCAACACACACCTACAGCCCCGGCGCTTCGCCAGGGCACAGGAGGCACTGCGGGGGGACAGCTGAGCCCGTGGCTTCTCACACCAGCGGCAGCCTGGCACTGGGAGTTCCGAGGCCACGCCTTAGACGGCAGTGACCATGGCCCACAAGCTGGGAAGGTCTTGAGGGGCAGAGACTTTCAACGCTTCTCCCCGGGAAGAGTGGCTGATCCTGGGGCTTTTTTCGTCTTTTCCCCTCAAAACCAGTATCTTGACAGGGAGTAACACACCTTAGCTCCACCCTCCTGTGGCCTCTGATGTGCAGGGGTGGTTGTGCAGGCATTTTACAGAAACTGCCCTCCGTTTATTCCCCTGCAGAACCAATGTCATAACATCCCAAAAAGGGGCTTCTTATTCACTGTTGTCATAGCTGAGATACTCGGACAGATATTACAATTCCAAGTACTTGGATCCAAAGCTGGCTCAAGTCAGCAAAGGATAAAGTGACAGTGGACACTGCTCAGTTCTTAGGGCAGAGGGAGTGGGAACAGAAGTGCTCTCCCAAATAAAGAGTTCCATGTTCACTGCTGGTGTTTAATACATCCCTTTGCCTGCAGGAGAGCTTGTTATCTCTTTCCTAGGATGGCATTTCTCCGTTCCAGCCACTGGAAGCCCATGGCTGCCGGAATGCAAATGCTATTGCGACCGCCAAGGGAACTGGGAGCCTCAGTTGCAGTAGAGGGACACCCAGCCTTTTTCCTTTAATGTCGTGGCAGTCCAGTCTGCAATGGATGAATTCCTTGCTGCTGTTGGCTAACCCTTGTGCTGGTACCAAGGTGCCATCCCTTGGATGGAGCAGGCAGGGAGGGATCACAGGCCCACGGTGCTGGCGTTGCTGCAGCTGCCCTGATTGCCTGCCTTGGGTTATTTTTATGAATTACGGCATCAAGTCCTTCCCTGTTTCAATATGGGCCACCCCCCAGCCCTGAGTGCACAGCACACACTCGGTGTCGGCGTGGCGGGGGAAGAGCTGGCAGGTGCTGCCGGCAAGAGCGGGAATCACCGACAGGAGGTGAATGTTGGAGCTGGCATTGAGATTGCAGTAGAGCCATGAAACGTCTCACTTGTGCAATGTCATACAAATCAGTTCTCAGGCCAACAAGTCGACTGGACAGAGCTGTGTGGCGGGATGTGCTCCCCTGGCTGGGAGGGCAGCTCCTGAGATCCATCCCCACACAATCCCTGTAAAGTAACATACATGCAGGTATCCCCCAAAAATGCCAAGGCAGTGGAAAGAATTCAAGAAGGTTCATTTTGAAGACAAGAACATTCAAAAGCATCCAAAGGAAATTCTGCACCAGCTACAAGAGCACTGGGCCTGAGAAAGTCACTGATCTCTTCCAGGCTTCTCTATTATCGCTGCCCCCCATGCTCTCTCGGGCCCTGTAGCGTGTCTGTAAGCGTTCTCTCTGTGCTCCCGTTGCAGACAGAGAGGCTGAGGACTTGTCTGGTAATGGGGGGAGGGAGAAAGCAGCCAAACTGCCTTAGAGAAAGGTGTTCCTTTTAGGCAGAAAAGCCTTCCTAAGGACCTAACTCTGTCTCCTCCTAACAAAATCTTCTGCAAGCCTTTTCTATCCTCACAATCCCACCCAGGCAGTGAGGTCCCAGCTGTGAGGGGCTGTGAGGTCACAGAGCCCCGTGGTCCCACAGCACCACAATGACCGACCACTCAGTCCCTGACTGCAACTGTTGCGGCAGCAGCGGCGGCGGCAGCGGTGTCAGATTTGGTGGCGTTTGGACAGTGATTACTGGACAGTGATTACTGGACAGAGATTTCTGGACAGAGATTGTACAGCAGCGGTGTCAGGACAGCGGTGCCAGGACAGGGGTGTCAGGACAGCGGCGGCAGCAGTAGCTGCCGGACGGTGTGAGGGCGAGGGGCCATGGCCCTTGCTCTCCGCCTCTTCCTCCTCCTCCTCCTGGCAGTGGCCCTGCACGCCAGGGCTGCCCAGGCTGCTCCGGTGCCAGCGCGGGGAGCAGGTGAGCCGGCGGCCTGGGGCACCTTTCCGGGCCAGCGGGCTCTTCTCCCCGGGAAGTGTCTGGGATGGTTTTCCCCAGGGCTTTAGCCAGGGTTTCCTGGGTGTGGAGAGAGCCCCAAAGGGCCCTTGGCTGCTCCAGCCGCTCCCCCAGGGATGTTGCACAGGGCCTGGAACGAGTGTGCAGAGCGGCCAGGAGCCAGCCCAGAGCTGCCCAGGCCCCTCTGCAGCTCTGGCCATGTCCATTGACATCTGGATCCCACGGGGCTCCCCGAGCCCCTGCAGTGCCACAGTTCTCTGAGGCAGGAGGGGATCCCAGCATGCCATGGAAACGGTTCCCGTCTCTGTTTCTAGATGAGAACACTGGGAATGCTTCCCCATTAGACTGGCTGCGTAAAGTTTTGCAGCCCTTGCAGCCTCCTGCAGGTAAGTTTTCACTGACTCCTCAAAGAAAAATATTTGACAACATGGCAAGAGCCAGATGACTGAAGCTTCTCTGGCTGTTGAGTTACAGGGGTGTCTGCAGGGAGGACTGTTCCAACTCCTTTTCTGGTTCCTCGGCCCAAACTCCTCTCACATGGCAGGGGTGAGTAGTCTGTCCCTGCTGACCTCACAGGCTGAGCTCCGGTTTTCTCTAATCCGTTCATGTCAAATGGAACTGCTTGCCATTCAGGTCCTCCAAGAGGCAAGAGCCAACGTCCAGGAGAGAAAAAGACCCGTGAGTCAAATGAAGTTCTGAAAGAAATTATGAAGGAACTTCAGAAAGGGCAAGGTGGATCTGTTTCCTCAGCCTGAGCCCAGTGTGGACAGGCAGTGGCTGCACAGCGGGAAGGGATCCATCGCAGCCTCGCTGCCCCGCTGCTGCTTTCCCACCTTGCGGGGCTGTTTCCCTGCCTGGCCTGGCTGCAGCTTCTCCCTGGCCTCTGCAGGAAGGCCTTGAGCATCCCCTGACCCCGTGCCCCAAATGCACCACGGGCCTTGCAAAGCAGGAGATCCCTTGTATCGTGAAGATGCCACCTCCTTAACGGAGAATGGTCCCATCTGATCCAGGTGTCCTTCTTGCTTTCCCCAGAGATGGACCAAGAGGCTGTTCACAAGTTAATGTTCCCCAAAGGAAGCAGTGGCTCCGTGCCAGGCTCTGCTGAGGGCAGGGAGGCGATGCCAGGCACGGGCACACGGGGTAATTGCTGAGGCGTGGTCATCGGTGTCGGCCATCGGGGTGGCTGTGTGGCAGCAGCTCTTCCCCCAGTGCCCCCTCGGGCCCATCACGGCAGCAGCCAAAGCTGAAAGCACGACGGGTTGGAGGCATCTGGAGCATGTTCTGCAGCCCCTGGGAAACGGGACTCTGGCCCCAAGGTCCCTCCCGCTGCAGCTGCTCCCAGAGCTGGCCCTGAGTCTCGAGAGGCCCAAGGCACCAGAGCAGCCCAGAGCGGGATCCCTCCCGCAAGCCGAGGGCCGGAGCGCTCCCTGGCTCCCACCCTGGGCAGGGGCTCACGTGTCTCCTGAGAGGGCCTGACTTCGTCCTCTTGGGCTGTGGGAGCTGTCCCGGGGCAGGGAGGGATGGGGCTGGCACTGCCTGCTGCAGTCTTCCCCAGGGCTTTAGCCAGGGTTTCCTGAGTGCAGGAGACACCCCCGAGGGGCCGGTGGCTGCTCCAGCCGCTCCCCCAGGGATGTTGCACAGGGCCTGGAACGAGTGTGCAGAGCGGCCAGGAGCCAGCCCAGAGCTGCCCAGGCCCCTCTGCAGCTCTGGCCATGTCCATTGACATCTGGCCCCCACGGGGACCCCCGAGCCCCTTCAGTGCCACAGTTCTCTGAGGCAGGAGGGGATCCCAGCATGCCATGGAAAGGGTTCCCATCTCTGTTGGCTTCTAGATGACAACACTGGGAATGCTTCTCCATTGGATTGGCTGCGTAAAGTTTTGGGGCCCTTGCAGCCTCCTGCAAGTAAGTTCTCAATGTCCCCTCAAAGAAAAATATTTGACAACATGGCAAGAACCAGGTGACAGAAACTTCTTTGGCTGTTGAGTTACAGGGGTGTCTGCAGGGAGGACTTTTCCAGCTCCTCTTCTGGTTGCTCCGCCCAAACTCCTCTCACATGGCAGAGGTGCGTAGTCTGTCTCTGCTGACCTCACAGGCTGAGCTCCGGTTTTCTCTAATCCGTTCATGACAAATGGAACTGCTTGCCATTCAGGTCCTCCAAGAGGCAAGAGCCAACGTCCAGGAGAGAAAAAGACCCATGAGTCAAATGAAGTTCTGAAAGAAATTTTGAAGGAACTTCAGAAAGGGCGAGGTGGGTCTGTTTCCTCAGCCTGAGCTGTGAGACCCATCAGCCGGGGGCTTTAGATCCACGTGTGGACAGGCAGTGGCTGCACAGCGGGAAGGGATCCATCGCAGCCTCGCTGCCCCGCTGCTGCTTTCCCGCCTTGTGGGGCTGTTTCCCCGCCTGGCCTGGCTGCAGCTTCTCCCCGGCCTCTGCAGGAAGGCCTTGAGCATCCCATGACCCCGTGCCCCAAATGCACCACGGGCCCTGCAGACCAGGAGATCCCCTGCAATTGCCTGGTCTGGTCTCCCGGCAGCTCCGGTGTGGCGGCTGTTTGGAGGAGGGAGTGCCCTGACCCAGCCCCAAAAGCCTGGCTGTTTCCCTGGACCTTTCCCATGTCTTTTATAAGCATTGCCTCCTGAAGATGCCACTTCCCTTATGGAGAACAGCTCCCTCTGATCCAGCTGTCCCTCTTGCTTTCCCCAGAGATGGACCGAGGGGCTCTGTGGCAGGCGGCGTTCCCCAAAGGAAGCAGTGGCTCCGTGCCAGGCTCTGCTGCGGGCAGGGAGGCGATGCCAGGCACGGGCACACGGGGTAATTGCTGAGGCGTGGTCAGCCGGTGTCGGCCATCGGGGTGGCTGTGTGGCAGCAGCTCTTCCCCCAGTGCCCGCTCGGGCCCATCACGATGTGGGTTCAGTGAGGGTTTGCTCTGCACTCCTGAGAGAGCTCCGAGGGGCCCTTGGCTGCTCCAGCCGCTCCCCCAGGGATGTTGCACAGGGCCTGGAACGAGTGTGCAGAGCGGCCAGGAGCCAGCCCAGAGCTGCCCAGGCCCCTCTGCAGCTCTGGCCATGTCCATTGACTTCTGGCCCCCATGGGGACCCCCGAGCCCCTGCAGTGCCACAGTTCTCTGAGGCAGGAGGGGATCCCAGCATGCCATGGAAACGGTTCCCATCCCTGTTTGCTTCTAGACAGGAATCATGACTTGGATGATCTGGAAATCCTGCTGAATGATGCACTGAATTTCCTGGGGTAACCCGGAGGCAAATTCTCAGTGTCCCTTTCCTGACAGAATAATCCCTTTCAGCGTGGCAAGAGCTCATTCATGTGCCATTTTCCTTAAGACCCTCTCAAGGTTGCTGGATTGTGGCAATCATGGCCGACTCTTTGCTCAGGCCCAAGAGGGATCCCACAGGATCCCTGTCAGGGGGAGCTTTTAATCTTCTTTCCCTGGAGATGCCAGTTGCTCCCTCCGTGTGGACACGGAGAAGGGCAGAGAGGGAAGGGGCCGGGCTCAGGGCTGTGCCCGGGGGGCTGTGCCTGGCGCGGCTCCTTTGCCGGCCCCTCGGAGCCGGAGGTGCTCCCGCTGCGGCTGCCAAGCCATGGCCCTCGCTGGGGCTGAGTTTGGAGCTGGGGCAGCTCCAGGGAGTCCCTGGTGCCCTGACAGCTCTGCGTGGGGCTCCTTTGGTGCCAGCGAGGGGCCACTGCTGGCCTGTGGGAGCTCTGCCCCTGCTCCTGAGGGGAGGGCAGAGATGAGGGCCCTGCAGGGATCCCGTTGCCCAGTTGCACTCCCTGCCCCTCCGGCCTGAGGGAGAGTCTGGAACTGGGTCACGGGAGCTCTTCTGTCCTGCCCTTCTTTGCAGCCAAGCCTGGGGGTGAGGGTGATCAGGAACCCGGAGTGGGGCCCAGGACTGAGCCTCCGGAAGGTCGTGTGGGTACGTTGTGGCTTTTCCCCCTGGGAGAGCTGCCAGCTCAGAGCCCAAAGCTGGGCCAGCCGGGCGCCTCTGCAGGGGCCAGGACAGAGACCTGCCCGTGTGTGCCCTGTCCCTGCGGGATCCCCTCACCCCCACTGTACCTCAGGGCTGCCCGTGCAGAGCCCCAGGGATGACACAAGTGTCTCTGCCTGTTGAGTTACAGGGGTGTCCGCAGGGAGGACTTTTCCAGCTCCTCTGCTGATTCCTCTGAGCAAGACCATCTCATATGGCATGAGTGAGTAGTCTGTCCCTGCTGACCTCACAGCCTGAGCTCTGGTTTTCTCTAATCCATTCATGTCAAATGGAACTGCTTGCCATTCAGGTCCTCCAAGAGGCAAGAGCCAATGTCCAGGAGAGAAAAAGACCCTTGAGTCAAATGAAGTTCTGAGAGAAATTTTGAAGGAACTTCAGAAAGGGCGCTCCCTGGCTCCCACCCTGGGCAGAGGGTCTCGTGTCTCCTGAGAGGGCCTGACTCCGTCCCCTTGGGCTGTGGGAGCTGTCCCAGGGCAGGGAAGGATGAGGCTGGCACTGCCTGCTGCAGGGATGGGTTGTGTGCGTGTCCCTCAAAGGAGCGACTGCTCAAGCAGCTCCACTCCCCCCGGGCTCTCCTCCCGGCCTTCTGGGTTTGCTTTGGTGGGACAGCCTGTCCCCAGGGCTGGGAGCCTCCAGGCACCCGCACTGAGGGAAACAGAGAATGTCCTGGCTGTGTCCAACGTGCTGTCGGCTTAGCAGGGGTGCCCAGGACGGGCTAACGCTCCAAATTGCTCCCGCAGATGCAGCCGGTGCCACAACACGTGCTCCCAAGATCCAGGAGAGCACTGGGAGAGATTTCTGTTGGGGAACCGGCTGTTTGAGTGTGATAGTGGCAAGCGTGTTGGAAGGGCTGCTTGTCTTCCTGTTGTGCTGTGCTGGAATCTGGTACTGGAGGGTGAGAAAACGGTGAGTTGTTTGTTGATCTCCCCCTCAAACAGCTTCTTTTGAAGGCAGCTCCTAGCCATGGAACATTCCCAGCCTGGCTGCTATGGAGCGGCCAGTTAGTCCTTGGTCAAAGGACTCTGCTGAGGGTTCTGCTGCTGTCCTGTGCTGTCCTGGCCTCTCAGCTGCTGGGCCCCTCCTGGGGAGCCCGCTGGGACTGGAGCCAGTGCTGGCTCCAAGTGAGCCTGCCTGGCCAAGAGCAGCCCCAGCAGGACGGGCAGAGGCAAAGCAAGGTGGGGAGGAGAAGGAGCGGGGACGAGATTGCCCTTGGAAGGCAGACGTGCCCTGGCGCCCGCTCCTGCCCAGGGACCCTGCCCAGAGCCATCCCCCTGCTCGCTGGGGCCTTGAGGGGCAGGTGTCCACCGGGGCCAAGGTGTGCCAGCAGCTCCCCCGTGCTGCTGAGCCTTGCCAGCTCTGGGCCCTGCTGGGCAGCAGAGTCCCTGTGTGCCCCCTGCAGCTGGGCCTCAGCCACCTCCTCTCTCCACAGGCTCCTCTCTGCTCCTGCTCCAGCCCAGCCAAACACCTCGGGCAGGAAGAGCTGGACCTCTCATCTCTGCTCTTCCTGCCCAAAGCCGGCTGTGCTGACGCGGCTGAAGAACGGGCTTCTCACCCTCCTGGTCCAGCTGCCAGGAAAAGGAGCCCCTCTGCCCCCGAGCCCTGCGGCCCCACCCTCCAGCCCCGTCTAAAGGTGGTCCTGCCCTGCCAGGGTAGGGATTTTGGCCACCTTAATATATAAATAAATAGAAATAAACCCTCAGCTGAGTGTCTGGGTGGTCCCACCAGCAAAGCCCCAAGGCCCCAGCCCTGGCTGAGCTCCGTGCCCGGGCGCAGCCGTGGATGCCCACGGTGTGGGCAGGCAGGAGCCAGGCTGGGGCTGGGGGAGCCCGTGGTGAGGGACCTTGGGCTGAGGGCACATTCATTGCAGGAGGGAATTTGGAGTCCCCCGTAAGGTGGGACTGGTGTCCCTCAGGAGGCACTCAGGCATATTTGGAGGTGTCTTCTCTGGTGTGCAGGCGTGAGGGCCCCTGAAGAAGTGTGGGGGGGCTGCAGTCCCTTGTGAGGCACCCAGGGATATTTTGGGGTCTCTCCTGAGGGCTGCAGGGGGCTGAGGTCCCCCATAAGACTTGCAGGGGACTGAGGACTGTCATGAGGAACATGGGGGGGGGTTGAATTTTCCTCTAAGGCGGGCAGGGGGTTTGGGGTCTTTCATAAGCCGTGCAGGGGGCTGCGGCCTCTCATGAGGTTCTCAGTGGGTCTGGGGCCTCTTCTGTGGTGTGCAGGTGCCTGGAGACCCTTTAAGGCACGCAGGGGGCTGGGGTCCCTC